CCAAGCACAGCCTCTAGGTCTTCAACATCACCCTAGGGCTCGTTGGAGCCTTCTTTCTCCAGCCCTGGTCTGTCGGCTGGCTTGGAGACCCCGGGTATGCACTGACCTAACTCTTTCGTCTTCATCTCTCTGTCTTCACAATACATCGTGGTGTAACTCTTTCTTCTTAATCTCTGTCCATCTGTCTTTATTATCTGTCTGACTTCATAAAAAAAAAAAAAAATGTTCTGTTAAATTCGTTCGTTTTAAATTCATTGGTATATTCTCCCATCTTCCAAGTTTGTGATTCACCCAGGGTTTGTTTGTGAGGGTTCCGTAGCAAAGTCTTCATGGCAAAATTGACTAGTGAGTCTACTACTTCGCTACTTGCTACTCAAGGCGCGAGTTCTGTTTTAACTACTACTATGACGATTCTCTCCACCCTGACCAAAAATCACCACCCCTCTCTGTAATGGTCAGAACTATCTAGCGTGGTCGCAGAGTTTGACTATATTTTTGAAGAGCAAAGGGAAGATGGGATATGTTGATGGGCGCATTCAGGCTCCCAGTATCACCGATGCAGGTTATGATTAGTGGGAGATTACTAATTCTCTTATCATGGCTGGTTAATACACTCCATGGTTTCAGAGATTGGTGAGGGATACTTGTCTATAGACACAACACAGGATATTTGGGAGGCTGTGGCCGCTACGTAATCCTGCAAAGGCAATTTCTCACAGACTTTTGAGTTGCGACGCTCCATTGATCGGTCCATTCAGGGTGAGATGACTATTCTCCAGTATTTTACTTTCCTTAGCAATGGGTGGAAGAGACTTGATCATCTTCAAGACTACAAGCCTGTCTGTCCCACTGATTTTGCTGGTTACTGGAAATTTGTTGAACAAGTGCGGGTCTTCAAGTTCTTGGAAGGTTTGAATGTAGAGTTTGATCCTGTTCGGAATCGTGTGCTTAGTATGGATATGCTTCCTTCTCTCTAAGAAACGTTTGCTTATGTGCAGTATGAGGAAAGTCATCGTTCTGCTATGCTTCCAGCTGTCTCTTCTGATTGGTCTGCCTTGATTTCAGCCCCCACTCCAGATGGGGATCATGGTTTTCGTCCTCCTTCTGAGAAGGATACCCTCTTCTGTGATTTTTGTCGCGCCCTTGCCTCACCCGTGAGACTTGTTGGAAGTTGCATGAGTAGCCATCTAGGGGTCGTGGAGACCATTCTGGTTCTTGAGGGGGTTGCTCCGGTCAGTCTCGAGGCCGAGGGCCTAATGTCCGAGCCCAATCGCTCCAGTTGATCCATCTGCTGATATCTCTGGGTTTTCTACTTCTAAGTTAGAGGTTGCTCTTCGCCACTTACTAGACCATCGGGCATCTAGTTCATTTTCAGGTAACATTGCCCATTCAGGTAACTTAGCCTCTTCTCCAAGTGCTTTCCTTTCTTATCAAACATTGCCTTGGATTATCTATTCTGGTGATTCCGACCACATGTCTGGGTCTTCTGATTTATTCTTCGTGTATACCCCTTCTTCAAGACAGGATAAAGTTCGAATTGCTGATTGTACCATTTCTTCTGTGTTTGGGAAAGATTTAATTCATGTCACTGCTTCTCTTCCTTTATCTTCTGTCCTACATGTTCCTAATTTTAATGTTAATATTTTATCTTTGAGTCGTATTACTCGGGACTTAAATTATAGTGTAACCTTTTTTTCCTGATCATTGTCTGTTTTAGGACCTTATCACTAGGAAAATGATTGGCAGTGGTAGAAACGAGAATGGTCTCTATATCCTGAATCAAGCAGACAAGTTGGCTCATTCATCCATTCAATTTCCATTTACCAAGGAAGACATCTGGCTGTGGCACCGCCGTCTTGGGCATCCATCTTTTTTGTTACTTAAGCATCTTTTTCCCTTTGTTTTTTTGAAAAATAATGTTTCTGAGTTTCACTGTGAGTCGTGTCAACTCGGCAAACAACACAAAGCTTCTTTTGCTTCTTCTATTAATAAAAGTTTAGTTCCTTTTTCTTTGATTCATTATGATGTATGGGGTCCATCTCGTTTTGTGTCTTTAAAGATGGTTTGTTACCTTTATTGATGATTGGTCTAGGACCACCTGGGCGTATCTTATGAAGGACAAATGTGAGGTTTTTTCTGTGCTTCAAAATTTTCATAAAATGATTTGCACTCAGTTTGGGGCAGTTGTCAAAATTTTACGTTTTGATAATGGAGGGGAATACATTGACTCTGGCCTTGCTAGCTATTTTGCCACTCATGGTATTATTCACCAAACTTCTTGTACTAATACCCCTCAACAGAATGGTGTTGCCGAGCGTAGAAACCGACATTTTCTTGATATTGCGCGTTTGTTTGTCCTTTGAAATGCTTGTTCCTCGATCATATTGGAGGGAAGCGGTTCTCACTGCCGCCTTCCTCATCAGTCGGCTTCCTACCCAGATTCTTCACAAACAAACTCCTTTTCAGGTTTTGTTCGGATTCCAATCTTCTGTCTTCTCCATTCCTCCCAAAACCTTTGGGTGTGTGTGCTTTGTTCATAATCATTCTCTTACCTGTAATAAGTTGGATCCTCGGTCTCTTTGGTGTGTCTTCTTGGGTTACTCCACCACCCAAAAGGGCTACAAGTGTTATCATCCCCTCTCTCGAAAATGGTTTGTCTCCATGGATGTGTCTTTCTTTGAATTTCAGTCCTACTTCTTGTCCTCCCTGGTGTCCCAGTCATCTCTTCAAGGTGTGAAGCGACTCCTGTATCACTACCATCAGCCATTGAGACTGTTGAGACTATTATTACTGGTGACCCAACTATTGAGAATATTGACTCTCAATCCGCAGTGAAAGACTACAAAGTGTATGTCAGGGACAAGGATATGCAGAAAGTTACTTGGGTACAAGAGACTAATTCGGATTCTCCATTGTTATCTTCTCCTTTTGATGAGTGTCCAAAATCCTCTCCTTCTGATGAACCTCTAGGTAACTCAATCCTTTATGAACTTTCTGATCTAGATGTTCCCATTGCTAAAAGGAAGGGGGTTAGGTCTTGTACTCAACATCCTATTTCTCATTTTGTCTCCTACACTAATCTGTCTTCTTCCTATAAAGTTTTTCTATCTAAAGCTTCTTCTGTGAGTCTTTCTTCTAATTTTCAGGATGCTCTTTCTACTCCTGAGTGGAAGTATGCCATGATGGAGGAGATGGGAGCTCTTGCTAAAAATGGCACTTGAGAATTGGTTGCGTTACCTAAAGGCAAACGACCTGTTGGATGTAAATAGGTTTACACCGTGAAGCACAAAGCCGATGGTTCAATTGAATGTTACAAGGCCAGATTGGTGGCCAAGGGCTTTACACAGACTTACGGAGTAGACTACGAAGAGACATTTGCACATGTTGCTAAGATGAACTCTGTCAGAGTCCTTCTCTCCTTTGCCTCTAATCTCTACTGGCCTCTTCATCAATTTGATATGAAAAATGCTTTCCTCCATAGAGATGTGGAAGAAAAAGTGTGCATGGACATTTCCCCAGGCTTTGAGGATGTTAAAACCAAAGGAAAGGTGTGCCGATTACGCAAGTCACTTTATGGCCTTAAGCAGTCTCCTAGGGCTTGGTTTGAGAGGTTTACTGAGGCCATGCTGAGATATGGTTTCAAAATGAGTCAAGTTGATCATACTTTGTTTGTGAAACACTCCTCACATGGTAAGACAATAGCTCTTATTGTCTATGTGGATGATATTGTACTCACAGGGGATGATGTTGAGGAGGTTCTTCGGCTAAATGAGTATTTGGCTAATGAGTTTGAAATCAAAGACTTAGGCAGCTTGAAGTACTTTCTAGGGATTGAGGTTGCTCGGTCCAAAGATGGCATCTTCATATGTCAACGAAAGTATGTGCTTGATTTGCTAAAAGAAATGGGAATGCTTGGAAGTAAAGTCTGTGATACACCACTAGAGCCCGAACCAAAGCTTAGTGAGGATCCAGAAGGCGAGCCTGTAGACAAGGGGAGATACCAAAGACTAGTGGGTAAGCTTATTTACCTATCCCATTTTTGTCTTGATATTGCTATTGCAGTGAGTATGATTAGTCAGTTTATGCATGCTCCACATGCAACTCACTTAAAGGCGGTTATGCAGGTTCTGAGGTACTTGAAATCTTCTTCGAGAAAGCGTCTCTATTTTTCAAAGCATGGTTATCTTAGTGTGGCAGCATATACAGATGCTGATTGAGCTGGATCAATAACTGATAAAAGATCCACCTCTGGCTATTGTACCTTTATCGGAAGAAATCTAGTTACTTGGAGACGCAAGAAACAAAATGTTGTTGCGAGGTCTAGTGCAGAGGCCAAATTCAGAGCTATGGCTCAAGGTGCGTGTGAGCTTTTGTGGATTCGATTGTTCTTGTGGGATTTGGCAATTCATTAGACAGATTCTACGCGGCTATATTGTGACAATAAGGCGCCATCAATATAGCCCACAATCCGGTTCAATATGATAGGACCAAGCATGTGGAGATTGATCGGCATTTTATCAAGGAAACGCTTACTAGTGGCACTATATGTACGCCATTCGTGCGGTCTAGGGATCAACTGGCTGATGTTCTTACCAAAGGATTAGGGACTAAACCATTCTGTGACATTCTCAACAAGCTGGGCATGAGAGATATCTTGGCACCCGCTTGAGGGGAGTGTTAGAACGTGTTAGGATATTTCCTATTTATTTTTATTCAGTATCTTTATTTGCTGTACTGAGCCTTTATTTAGGCCTTAACTTATGTTTATGATTTAATATAAAAGGGTATGAGATACCACTCATACCCTAACTTTTCTCTTCTCAAAACTCACATTTATATTGCATGTACTCGTGTATTTACCCTATGAACTAATGGCTGAACCAGTGAAGGGAGGTGGATATCCAATCCAGGTCTATACACAACAAAGTAGACAAAAAAAAAAAAAAAATGGAAGGTTGACAAAAGATCTGTGTTTGTCTTGAAATGAACATAGTTCATACCTGTTCATCTTCTTCGTCACAATATCCTACCAATGAAACCAGGTTACGATGGTGTAACCGTGACAGCAATTCTATCTCAGTGTAAAACTCTTTTTCACCCTGTAAGGATCCTTGTTGTGCACGCTTTATTGCCACAACTGTTCCATCAGTTAATATGCCTTTGTAAACCTTTCCATAACCCCCTTCACCAACTTGCCTACTGATGCCAAAACTGCATGTTGCCATTTGCATTTCATTGAAACTAAATCCTTTCACTCCTTTTATTTTGACGGGGATTTTCATAACTGCAAAAAGAAGAAGAAAGAAAAACAAGTGGTATAGTAAAAGTTTTTTCATCATATGCATTACAATTGACAATTTGACATGAAGGAAAAAAAAAAAACAGAATTCAGTTATGCAACATGGGATGAGAGCCCCTTAAACGCTATGTATTCTAACATATTAAATTTTCCAGACTGGTAGTTTTACAAGGATGCTTTTGACATTGGATGGACTAGGCTTATATCCCAGCCCATTCATCAAAAGATTAACAGGAATAGCAGCTCAAGAGTTCATCATCTTCTTTGCTCCTCATGAAAGTCATCCTCTACAACAATTTCTCAAATAAAACTTAAAAAGTAAGAAAGTTGACCATGGATATAATAACAAAAAGACTCACTTGATTGATCTCTTGGAATTTCATGCTGGGATCTGGGCTTCATTTTCAAGAACACAAGTATGATTACTAAAATTAAAACAGCTGCACATGAGATAGCCCCTAGCACAATTCCAGCCACTGCACCTTTGCTTATACCAGTTTTTAAAGGTGGGAGAAAGACTGCAATAGTGAGAACAATCGTCAATTCACAGTGTCATGGTCAAGAAGTGTGACTTCTTCAGTGAAAGGACAATAGAATCTCTTCGCAGAGGAAGGAAAAAAAGAAGTATAATAGTTCCAATAGTGTCATGCTTCTTTCAAATAGACAGTTTCAAGCCCAAAAAGAGAAGGATTATGTTGGTAGATAACCAATTTAATACATTAATTTATGCCTTATGGATGAATTTTTTTTATTAGCACATCACTAATAGCAACTCACTGTATCAATGTAGTGATAAAATAAAGTAGAAGTAAACTAGGGTGTGCCCTATATAATAAGTGGCCATAAAAGAGTTCATATAGAAGAATGAAATTCATTTAGCAATTTAGAGCACAGGAATTCACTAACAAAAGTTAAAAAATCTGAAGAGCCATACTAGCAGGGTTAAAAAATGTCAATATTATGGCATAAGCATAAAGTAATATGGTGCTTATAGATAAAATTTGTACTACCAAAGACGTGAGGGAATACAACAACAGGTCAAACTTAATAAAATTAAGGGGAAAACCATGTCAGCATGTTTTTCTAAGAAATACGCAGTATTGGTTTTGGGAATTCATGGGTATGGGAAGGGCTACCACCAGTGACTTTGTTTGGACCAAAATGAAAAAAGGAAAAAAGATTTTATGCAGAAACTTCAGCTTGCAAATAATAAATTGAATAAAGAAACAAGGTCAAATACAAACAATTATAACAATGAAGAAAGAGAAGGCAGAGGGAGGGGGTGGGGGCAGGAAACACACTTTTAGTTTTAGCTTGGCTAAAAAATTAGATGCATCAAATGACTGCATTTTAGATGAGTGAAGCATTCCATTCCCCATCCCCGAGAAGCACCCACCTGGTATGTGGGCATCAACAATAACAATCCTAAAGATCTTCTAGGTCTTACTGCTAATTCAAGAAATATATATTTACAGCTCAGTGAGAAAGCAACATAAAATGGATAGTCGTTTCATTTAACAATTTCAGTTCATTGGAGAAAATAATGGGTACACATGCAGTCATAAACATAAAAAGAAATTTTTGGAGACGTACAATTTGAATAAGGACCTTGGAGAGTGAAATTGAGCAGATCATAAGGGCCAAAGGTATCATTCGCAGGAATTGCAAATGTAGCAATTTGGTTTGCTATTCTTTGAATCTGGCTTTCATTAAACTCATTAGAATCATTAACCTGGGGGAAAATTTTCAAATACATCCTTAGCCTAGGACCGTTTTGCCACAGAATTGAATCGATGGATAGTTGATAAAGCTCCAAGCCAAGATTTGAGGTCATGTACACCTCGAACTGAAGCCTATATGGAGGGAAATCTGATATGCTAGGACTCCGTAAAAGTAATCCAACTCCAAATGGTGCAGCACAAAAGCAATTCAGAGGAGATGCAGGGACATACTCAAAATGATCACTTAAAGGACAAGACTGAGGTTGGCAGCTATTATTGGCGTGACTCAAGCTGTCAGTAGCCCCTTCTTCAGTTTCAGGTCCACAAAATGGGGTAATGTTTAGTTGATTCGCTCTATCACAAACAGGATTACCTTGAAGCCTGATAATTTAGACATTAAAGATCATCAAACTCTTTGATACTGGTTAGCAGAAAACTTACGTGCATGAAGTTTATCATCAAGAAGCATACAGAAAAAATGAATAATATGATAAAGATACATATCATTAAATTTGATATGTATCCTAGTGTTCCATCTTTAATGATTAGCTCCAAGCTTGAAGAAAGAAGGGCTGTGGTAGGTAGGCAGTCAGTTTTAAACTTGGTTGCTTAGAATTTTTTAACTGGGCTTCCCACTAGCAATGTGTTCAGTTGTATCCACCCCCAGGTACATTAATAATGGATCATTGTTACAATTGTGTATCTAACTTTTCTCTTTATTCCCAACAAGAATATTGGTTTGAGATAAAGACAAGAAAATCTACTGCATTATCTCACTATCACATTAATTGGCTTAACATAAAGACAAAAAATACCTCACTCAACTTGTGTAGTCACTTGTTTTAAACATCACATTGACATCTGGTGTGATCATCACAGGTGATAGATATGATATAACAGCGACACCAAATTAATGCAAATGCAGTCTTTGTTGTTTTGCAATGAGATGAATGTAATTTAGTTGTGGAATTGAGTTGAACGTTTATGATCCATAAATGCATGATTCACTAATTGTACTCTGGCATGAAAAGTAAAATTATAAGATTGAGTACAGTTTTGCTAATTAAGCATACTCCCTCCAAACTATAAGTTTAATCATTGTAAAATTTTATAAGCTAAGATTGATCCTTGGATGGTAAAGAGATTGATTTAAAAAATATCCACTTAGAACTTGATCTTAGTTGTAGTTATAAAATTCAACTAAGAATAATTGTTTAACTCAACCAAGTACTTAAGTTGTGTTAGGAAATCAAAATTTCTTAGTTGACTTAAATTTAAAAAAATAAAATAAAATAAATTTGATATAGTTCAATACAAGACAATAGAAGTGAATTGAAGAAAAGGGATTGAGTTTATTCATAAAAATTTAGGTTGTCCTATTCACTACCCTCTATGACACATTCAAACTTGTCTCCACTTTTCACTCTAACCAGATGACTCTTTACTGGTTTTGCTATTATTTTCATTCAAAATGTCCAATGATCTCAGTATCTGTTGGTAAATTACCATCAGAACCTTGTTATAGTTTATCCAAGTGTAAATATCAATTCCTTTAAGACTAGGCTTCACCCAGATGTTGGATTTCAATATATCCCAACTTTTCAGCTTATTCAGAAAAATGTTTGCCCATTCAAAGCTCAACTGATAATAATGACATATTGAGATGATGATAGCTATTTATATTCACACTCCTAGACTACAAAAACACATGGTAATGCTACTGAAATACATCCTCCAAATATGATGTAGAAATTTAAAAAAAAAAAAAACTATTTGCAGTTACTGAACTTCAAGTGGATCAACTGTGATAGGAATGATTACGTTGATAAGCTGTGTACATTTCATATAGAAAACCAGAAACTTACATCATGGTTACATTTGAAGGAGGATCAAGGCTGCCAGAAATATCTGAAAGAAGATTATTTCGGAAATCCCTGCAAATAAAAATGCCATGTAAACAAGAATCAGCAAAAACTTAAGTTGAATAAATCATTTGGATGTGAAATTGTTTAGTGACACGTCCATAGACAGTGACATGAGAAATAGTTATATCCATGGGTTGCAAAAATTTCCGTATGATACTTTCATGATGCATTCCAATGATACATATATTTGTTTAAAAAAAATACACAGGCACTTCATTTCATCCAGGATGTAGTCCAATAATTTGGCCAGGTCCCCAAGTCCAGAAAAAGTGTCAAACATATTCTGGCACCAGAAAATTGTGTTTGTGCGATTGTGCCTATTAAACATAGGCACAAAACATGGAAATAAAAACATAATTAATTCCACTCACAAAACATTCTCTAGTTGACCTCAATAGTCAAAGAATAACCATACAAAGAATTTTTAGAAAATTTTCCAGCCAAAAATAGGAGATAATTGCCATCATATCTTACAATTTGAGTTTTGCATCTGCACTGAAAGTCATATTCTTCCAAATGGTAGAGGGAATGAAACCACTTAACCAATTGTTCTGAAGTGATCTACATTAGAAGACAACACAATTCAAGAATGCGAAAATGTCAAAATTACATTACAACAATGTGCAATAAGACAGTGGAGTTGGAACATAAAGCTTCTCACAAGGTCTGGAGATAAGGGAGGCCTGAAAAGTTGTAGGGGATAGATCCATTTATTGTATTGTTTGATAAGTCACTGCAATGTCAGTCATAATGATATATTACTGATAAAAAAATATTGCTAATTTGGCGAAAGACAACATAGTTTAATAGAAACAACCAGCTGTTTAACATCGAAGAGTGTATGTATCTACTTACATGCATACATATGTAAAATGTATGCACCCAAGTATGCGTGCGTGCCCGGGCACTTGTGCTAGTGCATGTGTATGTGTACGAGAGAGAGAGAGAGAGAGAGAGAGAGAGAGATGAGAAAACTTGAGAAATTAAATCGAACCAAGCTTTAGCAACACTAGATTTCAGCAGCCACATACATAGTTGTGATATTAGCAGAAAGTTTACTTGATGGTATACTTCCAGAGAGTTGGTTCTGGCTGAGGTCTCTGTAACATGAACATTAACAATGTCAGATATAATCATGAGTAGTGCATCTTCAGAAAAATCTGAATTTCTTAATTTGATTAACTTAAATTATGTCTCAGAAAGAATATTTACAACAAAAAAGTCACATGTACTCTGAGAAAAAATGCAGGTAAATAGTTTAAAATCAGAATAGTCAATGAAAAAATACAATTAAATTACCAATGGTAAGGTATAATCATCATCAACACATTAAAACTCGCAGAAATATGACCTAAAACATTATATGACTTCTGCTTACAGACTTACAAGTAACGAAGGCCAGGTATACCACTTAGATCAGGAACAATTCCTTCCAATTTGCAGTTCCTAAGACTCCTGTTGAGTTGAAGGGAATAGCATTAAATACTTGGCGTAAAAAAATTTGGATGGCTGCAAATTCAATAATAAAAGAAGAAAATACATCCCTCAATGTAAAAATAAAAATAAAAAATAACAAATGCAAGCCAGAGGAATTGTAAAGATACAAAAGTCCATACAACTCTACGGAGATAATACAAACATGCAATGTTGACTTTTGAGTTGGTTTTGAACGCAGCGAAATAGTTTTTTAAAAAACTCTTTATTTTTTAATTGTCATATATTTGATCTTAAATCTTATTCTAAATAAAAATAATTGAATATATCATTACTTAATTTTAAGGGCAAAATCATTAATTTGATAAAATATAAACTAATTTGAAAAAAATCAATGTCAAAAAAATATTTTTTAATTTTTAAAAATTATTTCTACCCACCAAAAATAAAATTATGTAAAATTGATAAAAAAAAATACATGATTAACTTTTAAAAATTAATTTTACATGATCATTATCTAAATACATAATAAAATTTAATTTGGTAAAAAAAAAAAATAAATGTCTAAAAGATTTATCAATGTTATATAATTTTATCTTTAATAGGTAGAAATAATTTTTAAAAATTCAAAAATAATTTTTTAACATTTATTTTTGTCAAATTAGTTTATATTTTATCAAATTGACAATTTTACCTCTGAAAAATTCAATAGTATCTTTAATTGCTCTTATTTAAAACAAGATTCAAAATTCAAAGTTAAAAATGTCACAATTAAAAAATTAAAGACTAAAATAATACAAATTCCAAACTATAAGGACCGTTAGTACAATTCACCCCTTTTAAAAGTTAACCATCTCTCACTCTCCCCGTCTCACATCGGCGAGAAATTGAGATATCCATGATCTGCCAATATCTTTAATTTCCCAAAAATGCAGCAGGTCCAATGATATGGTTCAGTATCATTGAAAAAAATAAAATAAAATAAAAAAAGATAAAGGATTAGAAATATTTATAAAAAAAAAAAAAAAACTTACAATTTCAAGAGCTTAGACATGTTACCATATGAATCTGGTATCCCACTCCCGCTGAAGTTATTATTATCAAGTTGACTGCAATGAGGAGAGAGAGAGAGAGAGTCAGACAGACAGACAGAAATTAGTGTTATGACACTTCAGTTTTGCAGTGCTGGACATCACATGGCACAAGCAAGGCACCATTCATGAGTGAGCTACCATGCTCCCCATTGTTAGAACCAGTGTAATGCCTTTAACAATATCTAGTGTGCACCTGTGACTGCTTAAAAAATAAAAATAAAACAAAGCAAATACAGACATAAAAAAGAAAAACAGAAGGCTAAACCAAATAAAAGGAAGACAGGGAAGTTAGGAATTGTGAAGACGATGAGAGCAACATCCCACCATTCCATTCCTTATGTAAATAAGTTTTGCATAGAGCTGCAAATCGCATTTGACATACTTTTCTCATGGACAAATTCACTGCTCTGCTAAGATGTCCCATCTTAGGAGATAGTAAATGCATTAATTGATTTAGGTTAAAACAAAATGGTTGGAGTACCAACTAGATGACAGTATGCTAACACCCTATTCTGACTGTATCATAGGTTGGAACATTGACTTGATAAATTGAGATAGGGTGTAACTCCGGTGGGCTCAACCCGAGCAATCCGAGCTCTAGGGATGGCAATTTGAATCCGGCCCGACGGGGACCCGACCCCCCGTCCCCGATAAGAATAGTTTTTTCCCGAAAAATACCCCCGTGGGGACAAGGATGGTATTCAAAATTAAATCCCCAGTGACATTCGGGCCGGGGACGGTGATACATATTTCATCCCCGGTCCCGGCCCGGCCCCGGCTCCGCTCCCCGCCCCGGTCATCCCCCGATTTATATATTATATATATATGTTTGGTTTGGTTACAGGCTGTGTCTTTGAATATTATATATATTATATATATATATGTTTATATGTTTGTTTATTATTATATATATATATTTATATGTTTGTTTATTATATTATATATATATATATATATATATTGTTTACAGATCCGTAACTCTCTCTCTCTTACGCTGTCTTACAGATCCGCTTTCCGCCTCTCGTCGCCTCCCTCTACTCTCTCACTCTCTTCCCTCTACTCTCTCTCTCACTCTCGGCCTGTTCGCAACGTCGATCATCGGTATCCGCGACGTTGATCATCAATCACAGCCACAGCCCATCGCGACGCAGTCACAGCCACACCACAGCCACTGTCGCGACGTCGTCCATCGCCACTCCTTCGTCCAGATACACAGATCTATTTTTTTGATCTGTTATATATATATCTATTATATCTGTTATATATATATATATATGTTAGATCTGTTATATATATATGTGTTAGATCTGATTTTTTTTTTTTTTAGCTCATCAGATTGTTGTTGTTGATGAGATATACCTTTTGTTGTTGTTGATGTTGATGATGATGATCATTGATGATGAATTTGTAGACTATGTTGATGTTGATGATGATGATAGCTGTTGTTTTGCTTCTTTCTTCTTTTTTTTTTTTCTTTTTGGCTGGGGAATTTACGGGGTTGGGGAAACCCGATCCCCGTTTAGGGGCGGGGGCGGGGGTAGTGATGAGCTCCCCGTCGGGGTCGGGACTGGGGACGGGGGGAGTTTCCACCATCGGGGATCGGGGACGGGGAGGGTGATCTCCGGCCCCGCCCCGCCCCGTTGCCATTCCTACCGAGCTCAGCTCGAGTTTTTTTAGGACTTAGGCAATTATATCTTGTAATCTAGACGGGCCTGGGCAGATTTGTGATGCCCGAATTGTAATTCGGGCCGGACCTGGGCAGAATCAATGGCCGACCCAAGCAACCCGAATTCAGTTTAATATATTATATAAATTATATAATATATATAAATTAAATAAAAGAGCTATTCTTAATTTTTATTTATTTATTTATTTTTTGGGTAGTCTTTCACCGTTGGATTAGCATCTTTTATGTGTACCATTAGATTAAATCTAAAGAAAACCCTACCTACCTTATCTCTCTCTCAGACTCATTTCATATTTTGTTCAGGAGAGTTGAACTTTGAAGAACGGCGGAGGTAAATCTCCATAGATGCCTTCACCCCATCCATTTTCGCATTCTCCGGTAGCCTAAACCGCCTCACGAACTTCCTGCTACTATGCTTCACACGGTGCCAAGTATCGTTCTTCTCCTCCTCCTTCTCAACCTTCCTCTCTCCGCTAATCTGCAAAACCCTATCATCCTCGATCTCCACCTTCACTTCCTCCTTCTTCCGCCCTTGTAGATCCGCCTTGGGTAAGCTTCCTCCTTCTTTGTTCTTGCATCAGGAATATGTAACTGATTTATATATAAATATATATATATATAATCTGGGCCGATAATAATTTTATATATATAGATAAAATTTAGGCTAATAAATATATATATAATTAGCTCTTGCTAGATTGTGACTTCTATATATATATAATCTTGTGTTTGATTCACATTAAATATATATATATAAAAAACAGAGCCGACCAAGCCTGTGCTCTGCTTGGACTTGTGAATTTCGGGCAATTCGGGCTAACCCGAGTTCAAAATATAAAGCTTGGTCCGGGCTTGGGCAGCAATGCTCAGGTTGATGGTCAGGCTTGGGCGGGCTTGGGCACTGCCAAATACAATTCGGGTTGGGCTTGGGCAAACTCCCAACCCGATCGAACCCGCCCGAGTTGCACCCCTAAATTGAGATACATGTAGAAGCAGGGGAGTTGCATGGAAAGATGATGGATTGTGAATTGAAAAGTTCAACTCACACTTCTCTTTAAAATTTAAGTATTAAGAAGTGAGAAACTAGAGCCTTATAACCAGTACAAATAAGGCAACTCCAACACACCTTCTTGGACCAGGACATATAGTAGCTAGATAAACGGCACACCAATCATAAGTCCAACCAAGCTCTGATACCAAATTGAATTTTGTAATAAGGTAATAAGATTGAATATAGAGAGATAATAAAAACAAAAAAGAGAAAAGTAAGAACACAAAGGTTTAATGTGTTTCGGCCAATATTGGCCTACATCCACACACACAAAGCCCTAAAGGATTACATTTTTCATTCACTCAACTTGATATTCTTGTTTACATGATACACTATATATATATATATATATACAGTGGAAAATACAATTAAATCCCTTCAGTTAAGGAATTGAAATAAATCAAAAATGCAAAAAATCATAGTAAGAATAAATCATGGGATCTCTATATATTTTGATATATTCTATGTCTTCTAATATCTTTGACAACATAATATTATCTCCAACACTTCCCTCAAGTGTAACATGAAACGGTTAAAGTAAAGTGTCCAACTTGAATGCGAAAATATGATGATCATTACAAACAACTACAATGAAGTTGCTGAAAGACAATATCAATTGTAATCACTCATTTCAATAACAACTGCAAAGAACATAGATAAGGAATCAACATCTTGATGGCAAATCACCATAAATAGAAAGGTCGAAAAAACAGCGTCCCACAAAGAATGTTATCGAACACACTGGTGGCTCAGAAAAAAAAAATTTAAAAAAAGGAACCAAATATGTGCTTACCACATCAACACAGGGACCCTAAAACGATAGAGAAGTAGCCAGAAAATTCAGCTTATTACAGAACAATGCTACCGAACACACCGATAACCTTGAAACAAGTAAAAACTACAGAGTTTTCTTTGTGAATTATTGTAGTTTATGTTATTCATAAAAGGGTAGTTTAGTAGTTTGGGTTATTAGGGCTTCATTCTGTTTAGTATATATATTTGTACTCAGTCTTTTGGTTATTTAATTCAATAAGATACAAATTTGTCTTCTCTGTTTTCATGGTATTAGAGCCATACAAACGGCTAACCTAGCTTTTGTTGCACGTAGTCTCTCTCGTCTCGTGTTCATGGTTCATTCTCTAAACCATTCGTCTGAAACAACTCCTCAAGAATCGACTCATCATCAGGTCATCACAAGACATTGCAGCCTATTCGCAGACTCTTCTAGTGCTCTCTCTCTCCCTCTCTCTCCCCTATCACTGCTCCAGTTACAATTGCACTTTCATCTAGTGTCTTGAAGCTCTTTGCGATCTTCATTTGGTGCTCACAGTTGTTCGCAACTCCCTATTAGGGCTGTGCGTGATCTCTCGCTGCCCTCGTGACATCTCTAGTCTGTACCTCTGCTTCGACTTCAGTCCACGGCTGGTTTCTTTGATTTGTTGCAACCTTCAGTCTTCAGTTGTCTATTGTTAAGTTACGGGTATTCATTTGTTGCTTTTCACTCTGCTTTGATTTCACTGTGTTGTTTAAATTATAACGCTATAGCTAATGATAAATTGCAAGTTATCACCACTAAGTTAGATGGTATCAATTACTCTTATTAGTCTCATGTAATGAAAAATTTTATAATGGGTAAAGGCATGCGGAATTATGTTATTGGTGTGACTATTAGACCTATGGAATCCACAGAAACTGAGGCCGATTTTATTAAATGGGATAAGGAAAATGTACAAATTTTTACTTGGTTTCATAATTCAGTTCAAACTACCATTGGTATGAATTTTTTTTCAAGTATTCTACTTCTAAACAAGTTTGGGACTATTTGAAAGCTATGTACCTTGAGTCTAACTTTGCAAAACAATATGAGCTTGAGATGTCTATTTGTAGTGCTAGTCAAAAAGATAAGTCCATTCAGGAGTTCTACAATGAGATGACTACTTATTGGGATCAGTTTGCTTTGATGGAACCATCAGATTTGCAGTTACTTGACAGTTATACCAAGTATCGGGAGAAGCAACGTCTTCTTCAATTTCTTATGGCCCTTTGTGATCAATTTGAGCCACTTCGGGGAGTTATTCTACATCGGTCTCCCTTGCCTTCTGTGGATGGGACTGTCCATGAGCTTATTGCGGAAGAAACTCGATTTAAGATGGCTCATGGTGCCCTTATTTCCCAGTTAGTTTTTGCCACTCCTCCACTCTTGCCCACTCCACTTTTTCCTTTATTTCAGGTTACTGGTAAGCCCAAGCCTTGGGTTTCCATGGATAAGTGCAGCTT